TTAAAATGCGTAAGTTTCGGTCTCTTAAGGCGATATTAACGTCTTAGAGTAGTTAAACGTAATAAAGTCTTCTAAATCTCAAATGAAATTAAAGCAAAATAAACGTAATTAGTGTTTATTAAAGTTAGGTTTGCCTCGTGAAAACAGCAATACTCTGAGGGGATTGTGAGGCTGAGACATTGCCTATATGTAATCCTCTCAGTACTGTTTTCGCCGAAGGGATTTTAATTATCTTTTCGTTGTTCGATCGAATTCGAAAGACTTAAAATCCTATCTTTAGAAAAAAAATAGTAAAAAGAAAAAGAAAATACTCTTGATGTCTTTTGTTATTATCTTAACCAACAACTTTCCACTTATCAAGAAATACCGACTTGCCATCATCAGACTGGCACATCTGGTTGGCTGAACGGAGGATCAACTAAGTAACATTAATAGTCCCTAGAAACCTATTTTCGGTTGAGCCATCTCGCTACCGAAGTATTCAGAGATAAATGGATTTGGAATAAAATATAGTTCTATTAATAAAACCATTCCAGATCCTATCTTTGGCATTTTAATCGGGCCTTTAAATGGCCTTCATCCAAACATCTGATAAGTAAAATGGAAAAGGTGTTAATTAATAAAACCGTTTAAAACCATTTTGGAAACTTAAGTTCCTTGTACTATTAAGAGTACGTTTATATTTCACGTACTGCTTAAGAGTACGTTCATAACATAGAATCTAATGTGGAGGCCCGGCTATTACATTGAGTGCAGTGGCTCTGTTGAACATACGTAGAGTGTTGTGATGGGTTTGTTAAATCCAGGTGCAGTGGCTCCGTTGAATATTGGTACAGTATTGTGATGGGCCCGTTGGATCCAGGGCCCCCGTTGAATACACGTACAGTATTGTGATGGGCCCGTTGAATCCAGGGCCCCGTTGAATATACGTAGAGTATAGTGATGGGTCCGTTGAATCCAGAGGCTCCGTTGAATATACGCACAGTGTTGTGATGGGTCTGTTGAACCCAGGGCCCCCGTTGAATATACGTAGAGTATTGTGATGGGTCCGTTGAATCCAGAGGCTCCGTTGAATATACGCACAGTGTTGTGATGTGTCTGTTGAATCCAGGGGCTACGTTGAATATACGTAGAGTGTTATGATGGGTCCGTTGAATGCAGGGGCTCCGTTGAATATACGCACAGTGTTGTGATGAGCCTGTTGAGTGCAGGGGCTCCCCTGAATATACCTAAAGTGTTATGATGGGTCCGTTGAATGCATGGGCTCCGTTCAATATACGCACAGTGTTGTGATGGGTCCGTTGAATCCAGATGCTCTGCTGAATATACGTAGCGTATTGTTGTTCGTTCGTTGAATTCAGGGGCTCTGTTGAATATGCGTAGAGTGTTGTGATGGGATCCGTTGTACCCAGGGGCTAATAGAAAACGACGTAAATGCAGATTATGTCCTTATAACAATTTAGTCACAACTTCATTATGTATATCCTTTAAAAAATAATAATTTACACGTGAGGATATTACTTAAGAAGTTTTCAGTTTCAGTTGTTAGGCATAAGAAGCATTTGGTCTTAGTTGTTAGGCATAAGAAGCATTTAGACTTAGTTGTTAGGCATAAGAATCATTTAGTCTTAGTTGTTAGGCATAAAAAGCATTTAGTCATAGTTTTTAGGCATAAGAAGCATTTAGTCTTAGTTGTTAGGCATAAGAAACATTTAGTCTTAGTTGTTAGACATAAGTAACATTTTGTCCTAATTATTAGGCAAAAGAAGCATTAACTCTTAGTTATTAAGCATAAGAAGTATTTATTCATAGTTGTCAGGCGTAAAAAGCATTTAGTCTTTGTTGTTAGGTATAAGAAGCATGTAGTCTTAGTTGTTAAGCATAAGAAGCATTTAGTCTTAGTTAAGGAGCATTTAGTCTTGTATGTTAGGCATAAAAAACATTTAGTCTTAGTTGTTAGGCATAAGAAGCATTTCGTCTTAGTTGTTAGGCATAAGAAGTAAAAAAGTTAGACTTTAGAAATTCGAAAGATCAAAGTGATAAGCTTTAGCATTTGGTTATATTTTTCAGTTATAAGAAACATTTAGTCATAATTTTTAGTAATACAGTCAAACCGTTATTATTGTCTACCTCCATTAATGTTTACCTCTAGTTTTATCCAGTTTTTTTTTTCAGACAATCAGCAACCCTCTTAGACGCTTCCCGTGTCATACACGATATATGGGAAACTACAACTGCCAAAAGCATAGCCCATTGCTGGCTGATATCAACTTGTCTTCCGGAGGGCAACCTGATTTATAATGCGCCTGATTATGCGAAGAGAATCACATCTAGGGAAGAAAACGAAATTATTGATCTCACAGCAGCGTTCAAGTCATATTGTATGATACTTAATCCCGACGAGCCCATAACATCCGCACTGAGAACCGAAGTGAATGATTGAGTTGATGAATCAACTGAAATGCAACTATCGAACATCGAAGAGATATTATCATATGAGGAGGTGTGCAGGAGCTAGAAGTTGAGAAGGAAATACACGATGAGTGTGATGAAGGCAGTGTAGAGTTCAAAACCACGAGTGAACAACAGAAGGATCATTTTGACCTCATGAGTTCTTGTGAATACAATCGCGGAGAGAGTATCAAAACAATCCAAGCAACTTTAATGTTGAAGGCGCAGTACAAATCAACATGAACACTCATGGGATAAAAGATATAGGTGTAGGAGTGAGAGTAAAAGTAAGATATAAGAAAATAAACTGGAATGGTACAAGAGACTATAAGTCTACTAATCCCCAAAATAATGCTATGTTACTCAAGAGAGATCCCTCTAAACTCTGGACTTCGAAAAGAGGGGGGTGACCCTCCTACAGGCTCCTTCGGTACCCGGAAAAATAGGTCCCAGACCCATACAAGCATTATTGTCTACATCTATTTTTGTCCAATTTTTGGCCGAAATCGGACCCTGGACAATAATCGAGGTTTGACTGTAAGGGATTTTTAGAGGCATAAGAAAAATTCATAAGAAAATTCAGTGGCAGGTGGCCAGTGGCCAGTGGCAAGTGGCAGGTGGCCAGTGGCAAGTGGCAAGCTAACCTCGAACCGTGTCCCGTTAAAGCTTTTATAAATGGAATAAGTATACGTTTACGTTCAGATTTTATTCCGTATGCGGTCCTTTTTATGTTTATAGGTACACTTTTCGGGTATAAAATTTGAAGTATGTACCGATTTTACCATATAGACCAGACCTATAAAATGAGGTTAGGTAGACCCTTCTGATCAAGCTATAGGCGTTATAACGTTTAAAAATTGAATAAATATGCGTTTACGTTAAACTTCTATTCCGTACCCCCATAGCGTAATTTGGTGGCAAATAGAAGTGGCGAGTGGCAAGTAGCAAGTGGACAGTGGCAAGTGGACAGTGGCAAGTGGTCAGTGGTATTCCGTATTTTTAAGCTTGTGCCTCTCGCGAGTTGCGACTCATGGAGTCTTGTCTGAGTTTAAAGTTTTTCGTGGTGAGTTGTGTTGTGACTTGTGTCATCATGTTTGTGCGAGTTCAGCGAGTTGTGAGTTGTGAGTTGTGAGTTGTGAGTTGTGAGTTGTGACTCTGCAACAAGAAAAAACAAAAACAAAATAATCCAAAGATATATTTAAGTCATATTTTTATAGCCTTCTTCTGAAACTTACACCGATAAATTGTTTTTTGTATTTTGTTTTGTTATTTTAAGGTTTGTTTTTTATTAAAAAAAACAGAAAAAACAAAAAGAAACAAAAACCAAACAATTTATTTATTTCAGAATTATTCCTGATTTACGATGAACTAAAATAAAATAAAATAATTTATATATATATATTTACATATGTACTGTACAAAAAACTCAAGTTCCAAAACCAAAAAGTCTATTATTTGGTTCAGACAAAATTCGCAAAATTAGACAGGAAGAAGGAGTCTTTGCCTTCATTTTTGTTATTTCCCTGCTGAGTGCTGACTGCTGTGACGTCACTGTATGTGATTCCTGTTTCCTGAAATATTTATGAAATATATATTTGTTTTTGTTTTAAAACAAAAACAGGTATTTGTAATTTTGTAGTATATTTTTAACCGTACCAAAAAACAACGACAATAAAAAACAATATAAATAAAAACAGTACAGTGTCGCACTCTCAGGGATTTATCTTTAAATTTGTCGAATGCAACTGGGAGATTTGACTTTCGCCCTAACCTCATTGTTGGCGCATGCAATATTAATTATGGAAGTTTAGTACTACGAATCAAACAGAAGATAACCAAACACTCACAGCCACTAGGAAGACCACAATACTCAAGCTCCCTTAGGGACTAATATCGTCAAATTTATACCTCGCTGGCATACATACTCGTAGCTCGACTATTACTCGCATAGTCCATTGTCGTGATATTCATAAACGATTGGTTGACCGTTCAAATTACGACTGGCAGTCAGACACCAGAACGCCACAAAAGTCCAAAACTTCAAAAAAGGTGAATCAGGAATTCAGGATGCAATCAGGATGACTGATGGTCTCTGGGTTTACATTTGCGATAGAACGCATAAATTAGTCATATTTCAGTGTCTTAAAAAATACTTTCTTCGTTTTTTTAAATATACGTTGGATAAAGGTGCAGTATTTTGGTTCTGAGGTGCAAATTATAAGAACTATTATACTGATATAGTTCGATTGTTTCTAAAAACAGGATAGAGCTTTTCTGCCCACTGATACGTTTTAGTGTTTAAAAATGTCACAATTTATTTAACGTATACGCTGAACTACCACAACGTAAATATTGAGGTTTTGTATAATTCAGAAGAAGGCTATGGAGGGTTGCCAAATGAAATCGGACAAATTCGGATTCGATTGTGAAAACTAGTTTTGATTCTCGGATTTTGAGTGGAGTATCGACTGAGGACATCCATCTCGATGGCCAATTATATAAATACGCGAACACCTCCGTATTTACAGTCAAATCCACTCTATTTTTATAGCTACTAGTTGCGCACAAATAAATCCACTACTTACATAGCTACCAGTTGCACACAGGCATATTCAAATTTTGCAACTCTGTTAAGCATGTCCGGTCAAAAATATGGCAAGAGTGAAACTTACTTACGGCACAATTTGAAGGTCGTGTCTAGGAACTCTTCTCTTAAACGTGACACTGGAAGCAAAACATCTTCTTTACAAGCAGGTAGTCTGGATCCATCCGTTGGCCGAAATACATCTCTCCTAGACGGAACCTTCACACTTCAGCCCGATGACGACCCTGCTACAGCGAGTAGTATTCATCTCCACGTAGGATGCGGACGCTTGGGGCTAGGTCTTGTTATACCTGCTCTATGTGCAGACAAGCAGCAGACTTTGTTTGTGTTGCAATCACCTTCCCCTGCCTGGGATTCTCTGCGGGACAAGAAACTATACAAAGTGCCATTCTATGTCAATAACGAGGAGGGTGACACGTTCACCGTAATCACATCATCGTACGGTCTGCGAGTTGCGCGCAAAAAGTTCAGGGCTAATAAAGGGAACAAGGGGGGACGTTATCTGGTCATTTCAAACGACAAAGCCCTGATCGGCGGCATTGTCCGGTCTGCAACCTCCTTCTCCTGCTCTGTGGGTACTAAAGGCTTACAGAGTGTTGTTGTGAATATGTTGAAGGCCGGAGGTCTTTTGCATAAGGACAACAGCTCCACGAAGGAGCAGAAGCGTGACGAGCTTGATCCGAACATGGAGAAGCTGCCTTCGCTATACGCTTGCGAGAACGATCACGCGGCTGTGGATGCACTTGCAGATGTAGTAAAGAATGCAGTCACTGTGTTCCCAGTACTTGTAGACCGTATCTGCACGGATAGGCGCATTACTGAGAACGGTGTATACATTGATACAGAAGAATACAAAGGCGAGATGGTTGTCATGGTTCCCGAGGGTGATGATGAAGAAGATCCCGACGATGAAGGGTTCTCCTGCCCTGAAACTGAGGCTTACATAGCCTCAAGTCGAGGTGATCTGGACAAGGATTATGACTCGTCCGGAGATGATAATGACGATGTTAGCAACGACAGTTCACCCTGGGCTATGGCAGATAACGCCGTCATGCCTGGTGACAGCACTGTGGCACAGTTTCTACACCGTAGAAAGATTCTAGGCGTAAACGGCTTGCACACAACGCTCGGGTTTTTAACCTTGGTTAAGGAGGAGCCTGATCGCATCGGGTTGCCTCTGGGCGATCACAAGCTGTTAACCTGGGACTCGGCTACAGAAAAGGAGCAGCGGGTGATCTGGTCGATGTGCGTTGCGAGAATATTCATTTTACTGCAGGAGTTTCCTATGGAGGTCATGCACAGAGCGCTCGTAGAGACGGGGGATATCGAAGTAGAGGCCTTCGGGGAAGATGAAGAGATGATCGATGATGAGGCTATTGAAGCTGTCCTGACGGCGCTGATTGAGTATAATACGACTGGTCTAGAACGCACCAGCACTATTGATGACACTACCGGGCGAGTGTTGGGTGGTGGAGTGGTGAACCGGTACAACGGTAGGCTCAAGAATGTGCAGAAGTTCGTGAGGAAAGAGCTCAATACTATCGATGAGACTGGGGAGTTACTGCTGCAACTGAGTGATCTGACTGAGAATCAGATGCGCAAGGGCGTGGCATATCTCGTCAGAGAGGCCGAACGGTTCACTCTCGAGCCACTTCCTGCGAAGCCCGAATAGAAGACGGTATATCCCACCATCCAGCACGGATCTGGCAAGGGTGACAAGCACATCACTGGATGCCAGCTGCAATCTAAAAGCTCCAACCATATATCTATATTTTAGGCATTCATTCACGCGTATGTCAGTACGCAAATACCAATTTCACACAGTCCAGTATCTCGACATCGGCTATAGTGTGCGCTCGGTTCGTTCTACCGTGAAGGTTTTGCACAGTGGACTACTACGATACTTTTGCCGATAAAAGTGCTGGAACACCATGACCTACTACACTAGCCTCGCAAAGAAGTATGTACATTGGTGCGCTTGATGGCCACTATCAGCACGATTTCGGAGATGTTATGTGTCATACTCACCGATTCAAATAAAAACGGCTTGTAACCTACCAGTACTGCGTGTTAACCCTTCACAATGATAGTTGCGTCTTCTGTCTGTATCACTACAACACTATTAGAAGTAAATGGCCTTCCTATGTATTTCCACATTTGCCTTCGTTCGTGATTTTTGATTAGGAAATTGACCTTTATTTACATTTACAACTAATATTTTGTATCTAGATTTGTAGCACAGGGCAAAGGTATCGCTAACCGTGTTTTTGGGTCTATCCAGGAAAGTGGACAATTTTCAAAAAAGGTTCGCAGCAAATGATATTTTTTGAGTTTATTAATTACAAGTTGAAAGTTGCAACACAGTATATGCACATAAATATAGAGACAAGCGAGATTTGAAGCATCTCCCGGTAGACCGGGGGGCCTGTCAGCCATGTCTTTACATATGATACGACACCCACATAATATGCTCTCATGTATCGGTATGCTCGAGTGTGCGAGGTTTGGCAAAGTCGTTGCAAACGTATCTGTTAACTTCTTGCCTAGTTCCGTCAAATGGTAGACGACTATCACACTTTCGGTTAAGCACCAACGCAACTTTTCAATCGTATATAGAACTTCGTGTGTTTGTGATAATAGGTTCTTACGAATGGATTGCCAATCCACAAATCTACATGTACGGTACTTGTTTCATGTGCATCGCCCATATCCGATAAACCTATTTGGCTTTGATTTGGAAATGTGCCGAAAAATACGCCTGATACAGACCCTGTTATCCAAACTTGTGTTTCATGCGTATACATGCTTGGTTAACCAAGTTAACGTACTATCTGTAATAATGTGTAGAGTAATACGTATATGTCTTGTTTATCACGCTTATATAAACGTGCACCCCTTTTCCGGCCAATGCATGGTCGCAGTCTAGAACGAGTTTCTTCAATCGAATGCGACCATGCACAATTTAATGAACGTATGTGAGGTGAGGTGTACGAAGTGTTTTGTGCTAATGGCGTATATCTTACAATTCTGTAAATTGCTCCTTGAAAGTTGTTGCGAAATAAGCATATA